CACTGAAGTAATTCACCCTTCTGTCCCTCTCCCACACTGAAGTAGTTCACCGTTCTGTACATCTACCACACTGAAGTAATTCACCATTCTGTACATCTACCACACTGAAGTAATTCACCCTTCTGTCCATCTACCACACTGAAGTAATTCACCATTCTGTACATCTCCCACACTGAAGTAATTCACCCTTCTGTCCCTCTCCCACACTGAAGTAATTCACCCTTCTGTCCTTCTCACACTGATGTAATTCACCCTTCTGTCCTTCTCACACTGAAGTAATTCACCCTTCTGTCCCTCTCCCACACTGATGTAATTCACCCTTCTGTCCCCCTACTTCACTGAAGTTATTCATAATTCATCCTCCTTTTCCCCACCCAATTACACTTAAGTAATCACCTTATGTCATCCCATACACTGATGTTATTTACACCCTCTTGTCTCCCATCACAAAAGTATTTCATCCTCTAGGTCCCCACACCCACTGAGGTAATTTGCCCTGCCCCCCCCCCCCTCCCGCACCCACTGATGTAATTCCCCCCCCCCCACACACACACTGAGGTAATTTGCCCTCCTATCCCCCCCACACAGCCATAAGATACATACAGAATCCCTGCACTCGGCAGGCATGCCTCTCAGCTTAGCATGGCAGTGGAGAAGCTCCCGTCCCGTCAGGTACCCGTCCAGAGCCTCCTCCTGGGGACAGTAGCCTGCCTCTTGTCCAATGGCTTGGTTAGCTCGAGTAACTCTGCAAAGTACAATACTGCTGTAAACATACATTTGTTGGATGGCCGAGTCGACTTCTCTGTATGCTCGGTGAGCAGGTCAACTCGCCCGAGTTGATCTGTCAAGTGTGAAAATATTGAATGCATTCTACACTTGGTCAAGCCGCTATATGGACCTATTTTGCGTACTGTTAGTCTGAACGTAGATACCACTCGCCGTTGCAGGCGAACATTATGATTAATATACATATAACTTGTAGCTTCTTTCTACAATACCAACAAGATTACATTTAAAGATAACACACACACACACACACACACACAAACATAAGAGTTATGGTTATCCTGGATTGCAATTATATAAAGGCCAGTGATGGTCAGCCTGTTTCATTGAGCTACGACAGACGTTCTACGAAGTATGTGTTCACCACGATGTAATGGGGAGTAATGGTCACCTCAGACAAGTGTCAACACTCTAAAGTAAAGGGACCAGAAACTTGATCAAAGGATTGTGATGTCTAGTGGTTAATTATATCAACCTATTTTCAGTAGTATGATAAGGGAGACAACACTGGGGCAAGGACAGACATGAACCAGGTTCAATCCCTGACAGCGACATCAAAATCGTGACCTTGATAATGTCTGTGACTGGACGTGTAAAACCCACCTCTTGTGATTGATAGTGGCGGAGCCCTCACTTGGGAGAATGTCCCCTGTCAGCATCCTGAAGGTTGTTGTCTTTCCTGCACCGTTGGCCCCAAGCAGTCCGAAACACTGGAATCAACAAGTATCATCAATAAACATTACATTATTCATTGTCCTCTCCATTGCTGGAAGTTTATTTTAAATAGATTGTAGATTTACTTTGCTTTACACCTCCACCACATAGAAACAGAGTTCTGTTTCCTTTACAACTCTGGTCTGGTGAAGTCAAGATATATGTGATTTATGAATCATTATGTCAGCCATTACATACACAAGGGTGTGACTGCTTTATTTATTGTATTGAAATTAAACATATGATGTTTATCATTCTGATGACTTTAATAGCGTACAGGCATTAATCTGGTCTCTGTCCTGACTTTAGTTCTATCCTAGAATAATACATGTACTCCCATAGATATGTCAGACTATAGGGTAATGGAGTGAAAAGTAATCTTACTGCCAAACAGATACATCAGTCTCAATCAGAAAACTATAGAATTGCTATGAACAACAAATAATTTGAAGAAAATTATCAAAAGGTACTTACCTCTCCCTTTGGTACACCAAATGACAGATGGTTGACTGCCAAGAAACTCTTCCTTCCTCTCTTATAGGCCTGTAACGACAATGCATCATATCACAGACATGCTTCTATCTCAGAAGTCACATACAACATTGACAAATTTTTGGATTATGTTAATAGGTCATAAAGCAATACCTCATCTTTTCATTCAGAAATTAAACAAGAGGCCCCTGATTGAGTTGCCATGTTAACAGATTTTGAAATAAGTAACATGTCATATTACAGGGTGTAATTAGAAAATACTTTAATTTTCATTCAACTATATAAGCTTTTATAAACCTAGAAACCAATTTTTAACAATTTATAAAAACTACACCATAGAATATGATAATCTAGCTGTACCATTCCTTAGGACCGCAGGGGTCAAATCAACCTCATTCATTTAAGAAATGTTTGCAGGCAATTAGGGGATATTATGTCTTAAAGCAAAATATTAGATAATTTTCCTCTTTGGGGCCCGGTCTTCCTAGCCCTCATTTATTTAGAAAATGATTGCCCTCCCCCAATGAAGTTTCAGACTTAGCTAATTTCCTCTTCAAGGCCCCGACCCCTTGGCCTCAGGGGTCAAACCAACCTCATTTATTTAAGAAATGATTGCCCTCTCCTAGTGATGCTTCAGACTAAATTTGGTTGAAATCCTATCTTGTGTTAAGCAGGAGATGCGTTTTAAAGCAAATTTAGCTAAGTTCCTCTTCAGGGGCCCCTCCCCCTGGCCTCAGGGGTCGAACCAACCTCATTTATTTAAGAAATGATTGCCCTCCCCTGATGCTTCAGACTAAATTTGGTTGAAATCCTCTTTGGCGTTTAGGAGGAGATAGGTTTTAAAGAAAAAGTTGACGATGGACAACGATGGACGTTGCGGCACGGCATAAGCTCTCTTTCCCTTTGGGCAGGTGATCATGAGCTAATAATATAATTAAGAAAATCATCATATGACTTGAAAGTTTTTCTAATGTTCACATAGATCAGGGAATCATCTGTTTGCCTTGAAACACATACTGTTTCAATTTTCAATCACTACCAATGATAACATCACAAGATAAGTGTGATTTGACATCATGACCTGTGTAGATCATCTTAAAGGTTTAAGAAAACAGAAAACGTCTGTCAGACATTACTGTCCCCTTGGCCATGTGGTTCACCTAAAAATAGCAAATATCACTTGATATCACAGCTAAAAGATGACATAGGTAACACCATATGCCTCCCATGAAATAGTGAGACGGGATTGAAAGAGATATATAATGATAATTCTAACAGGAGAACTATATGGTTTGTAGCATGGTTGTGGTGTTTACCTTAGACAAGCTGCTGACCACGAGGGTGTCATCCCGAGCCTGATGGGACAGGACACGCTGTTTCTCAATCCTCACCTCATTACTTTCCTCAACTTCATCATCTATACTATTCTTTACTCTGCAAACGATATCCAAGAATGAAGAATTTACTACTGAATTGAATTGTAACCAGAGATGGTTTCAAAGCCACCCAATGCTCGCCTTTTTAAAAATGTATCGTCTTTAAAAATTTGTTTGCAAAAATGTTAAGTTCAAAAAAGGTCAAAAGTCTAAAACATTTGAAATTATTTTTTAATTTAAACTTTACTAGTCTACATTAACATCAAAAAAGTTAAGTACAAAACAGGTAGAAAATTTCAAAAATTTGAAAATAATTCATTAATTTTAACTCCACTACATCAATAGTATACCCCACAGGAACCTCCATGCCAAATATCAGCATCCTAGTATTTTGTTTTTAATTTGTAAGGGACATTAAACCTACCTTGCACGAGATGGACATCTTATTTCTGTGAAGAACAAAATGACAAAGAAGAAAAATCCTGTGCCAGCTAGTGCTATATAATTATATGCCAACAGGTCATAGGAGAACGGGCTGACATAGGTGTCCTGTCCGAAACGGGCCAGGATTTCCGTCTGAATTTGGTTAGTAGTGAGTTGTATCAGCCCATCACACAGGGTGTACGGTGGGAAGATCAGGAACACGTGTCGCACAACATCGTACACATTCTTTATACCCTGCAAAAATGAATCCGTAGATAAATTGATAAATTGTAAAATATACAGAATCTCAGAAAGTTTTTAAAATCACAGTCCCTCCCAGTTTAGAATAACAGAATCTTCCACCGCCATTAGGGGTGAGATTCTTAAGTCCCAATTTTTTTTTATTCAAAACTATATGGAACAAAAACATTTTGAAGTATTGTAAAACAATATGAATCCCCTCCCAGGTCTAGAAATAATATAATACATTGTGTATGTCCCCCTACCACGACACATTGTCCAGACAGGGTAATCTGGGCAATAAAGTTTTACTAAACACTACAACATAACTTTAAGAACATACAATTCCTGCAATAATGTGAGTTGTAAGCTTGACCTTACTTCTTTGAAGCCTACCTCCTCCTCCTAGAAGTTGAGGACAACCTACCTCCTGTGAAGAGAAGAAGTTGAGGATGAAGACAAACGAGACAAGTAAAATGCCGATGAAGACGTTGAGACAAAAGAGGACCATGTAAGCTGACGTGGAGTCCTTGTAAAGCTTCACGGTGCAGTACATCCAGGGTATGGTAGCCCATCTATAAAACACATGGAATAAATGTTGATATACAGAGATTTTATATATGTTAGTGAGATGATGAACACATGACACCAACTATAGCTCAGTCAGTGATGGAACTAGGAAACACCTTTTGGCATTTTGTTTTGTAACAGAGCTGATCAGCAATTGTAACGGGAGGTCATTGTAACGGGAGGTCAGAGGTCATTGTAACGGGAGGTCATGGGAGGTCATTGTAACGGGAGGTCATTGTAACTGGAGGTCATTGTAACGGGAGGTCATTGTAACTGGAGGTCATTGTAACGGGAGGTCATTGTAACGGGGAGGTCATTGTAGGGAGGTCATTGTAACGGGAGACGGGAGGTCATTGTAGGGAGGTCATTGTAGGGAGGTCATTGTAACTGGAGGTCATTGTAACGGGAGGTCATTGTAACTGGAGGTCATTGTAACGGGAGGTCATTGTAACGGGACGTCATTGCTTCAAGAATCAACTTAAGTTTATAAAAAATCAAAGAACAGCTCTTATAGAAAAATGAAAATACTTACATGAGGTATGTACATGTCAATTCATGAATAATTTTATTTTCCAGACTCATTGATAATGTCAGACCAGACTCACCCATACATAACTAACAGGACAACTACCCCAGCCAGATTCTCTCTAGCCCAGTAGGAATTCTGTCTGAAGATGGCCATCACAATTATCACAAGTCCAACAGTGAAAGAGAAAACCACCTGAAACAGCAAACAAGTATCATCTTGACTTTTTTGTTCCTGTTTTTGTATACGGTAGGGCACTAGACCCAATATCAGTACACTACTGTCTAACATCCTAACAGATACTCCAATACAAAATGTTCAAACCTACACTCCCCGTCAGTAATATCCTTAATCCCTAGAGAATGAAATAAATATCTTTGATATTGAAAACAGATCTCTGATCTACAAATAACATCACTTATTTTGTAACCTAGAACTTTGAACTGTAACCTGTGACCTACCAGATCCCAGAGAAGGGAGGTAATCCAGTACAGGAAGTTGCCGACACCGCTGACATTCTGGAGCTGCTTTTCCTTGTTAGTGTATTCATTGACCACGTAAGTCACAAACCCAACAGGAATGGCCGTGAATGCCAGCAGGAACACCATGGCAACCCCGATGTCAGCTGCATTCTGGAGACTAAACAACAACAATAATTGAAAACATTGCTTCAACCAAGGAACCATACTAAAATTAGAGCATTATTGAAGTTATATATCTGTATATCAGTAACTAGCTATATATAGATCGTGATTTAGCACCATGATCATCCATAACATGCAGAAATAATGATTATATATTTAGCTTTTACAATGGATTATAATTTAATTCTTTGAAATCTGCATGAAAATTTATAATACATGGGCCATTCAATAAATACTGTCATCACACAGTCTTGTACGAACGGGCAATGATAAAGTAGAGCTTTGGCAGACTGCAAAAGCATATAAAGAACACTGTATGGGCAAAATTTCAACATCATCCAACAAGAATTGAACAAGTCGTTTATTGTTATGTCCCCATGACAAGTGGCTACTTTTCAATGCTAAAATGAAGTTGAGACTAAATCTGAAATACGCTCCCATTGAAGCCTGTCAAAAGATTCTTCATGAAAATGCGTCCAAGTACAGGGTTGAATGGCATCCAGCTAATTCATGCGTCTAAGTACAGGGTTGAATGGCATCCGGCTAATTCATGCGTCCAAGAACAGAGTGGAATGGCATCCAGCTAATTCATTCGTCCAAGTACAGGGTTGAATGGCATCCGGCTAATTCATGCGTCCAAGGACAGGGTTGAATGGCTTCCAGCTAATTCATACGTCCAAGCACAGAGTTGAATGGCATCCAGCGAATTCATGCGTCCAAGTACAGGGATGAATGGCTTCCAGCTAATTCATGCGTCGAAGTACAGGGTTGAATGGCATCCAGCTAATGCATGCGTCCAAGTACAGAGATGAATGGCATCCAGCTAATTCCTGCGTCCAAGTACAGGGTTGAATGGCTTCCAGCTAATTCATGCGTCTAAGTACAGGGTTGAATGGCTTCAAGCTAAGTCATGCGGCCAAGTACAGAGTTGAATGACATCCAGCTAATTCATGCATCCAAGTACAGAGTTGAATGGTATCCAGCTAATTCATGCGTCCAAGGACAGGGTTGAATGGCTTCAAGCTAAGTCATGCGGCCAAGTACAGAGTTGAATGGTATCCAGCTAATTCATGCGTCCATGTACAGAGTTGAATGGCGTCCAGCTAAAGGACCAACTATATACGCCCTACATGTGATTTCTGACACTAGTGACAGACTATATACACCCTATATGTGATTTCTGACACTAGTGACAGACCTTATTGATAGGCCCTCGTGTATTATATATATTATACTACCAATAACTCTTTGGTGATCAAACTTTTTGATCAGCAGATATAAATTCAGCTTGAAAATAAGTTTTAACATTTTCAACAAGACCTACAACACACTACTTACTGAAGACATGTAATACTAACTGTTGGACAAACTTACAGGCTGTCTTGGTCGAGTTGCTGCTTGCTAAGTAGGATAGGATGATTGTAAGTTGTGATGCCATACTCGGCAGGGTCACCTTGTGTGATCTTGGACCTCAGGATGGAGTTACTCAATGCATTTATATATCCTGGTAGTGCATGGTGGCCCTTATTGTTGAACCAGACCGTGGCTTTCATGTTAGTTGTACCATCAGAGGCAGCATCAAATGAAAACCCACCAAATCTGTAAAATATATATATACATACACATATATACCCCTGTAAAATGTCAGAACTTCTGTATCCCAGAGTTCAAGGGCGCACTTATTTGTATGCCATACGTGATGAGTGTACTAACTAATTTTATGTCTCATCAGTAAATGTAATTGATCTATTACTGTTCTATTATTAACATTGTTCTAGTGTTTGCTGTCAATCAATTGTCATGAAAAGTCAATCAATTGTGGGTATTCCCGATTCCTGAAGATAACTACAGAAACCTATTACAACTCCATCATCCTGTACCAGATGAGCTTGATGACCTGACTGCCACTGCTTACGTAACAAATCAACAAAACCCCTGAAGATTGCAACGCTATTATTTTAGAAATAAACTAGCGAAAGTGAGCACGGCTCACAATATCTCTGCTTCCTGCTTTACCTATCAAATGACCTCAAGCCATTTTCTGTAAAATTCCATTTTAAGTGGCAGTGACCTTGTTCCTCAACTTAATGTAATACTCTTTGCCCTTGCTCAAAATACCTACTTGTCACTTCCTCTGAAAAGCCATACAAATTGTACAAATATAGAACTCTATTTTTGGTAACAATGGCTTCATTACGTCATACCCAAACTTGTCAAAAATATGTCAAAGGCGAACATTTTCATCAAAAAGAGGATGGACAAAGGTTTTACATCCATGTCAACAATAAAGTTTTACAATAAAATATGAATCTTATTTGTCAGTTTTCAAATTTCCCATTAATTATAATTTATTTAAAGTCCACAAATATTTTTTAGACTTTGCAGTTGCTCATTTATAATCATTTCAAAATGCTTAACTATAGTAAAATTTAACATGCATGTCAAGTTTTATGAAAACCTCTCAAGGAAAGCAACTGAGTATAGTCCTAATGAGGCCGATTGACTTTATATCTCAATTCTATTATAAGGAAAAACTAGTGAGACCAACCTGTTCTCCTTGTAAGTCTCGTAGGTTTTGAGGAGGTAATCAGTGACATCATGAGCACCTATATTCTGGATAATGTCGGTAGTGTTGGTGACTACCTGTGGTACGCTGATGGAGTGGGCGTGGCTGTTACAGGTGTAACTGTAGTCAGAACAGGTGCACTGTGCTGCGTCGTACGCTGTCTGGCTGCTCAAACTGCCACTGAACATGGTCTCTCCTTTCTCGCAAACAAACTGTGATCTGTCAGAGGATAACAAAAGCATGTGCATCTCGCTGAAAGACATTACAAACATTACTAGAACACAAATACTGTATCTGATACTATCACATAGGTCAAATAAGTATGTTTACAACAACTTTATTTCCCCAACATTTTCCCAGTGAATCCATTAGATAAACACTACATACAGATCTTACAATCTTCATTGAGCAAATTCTTCACAACTGAGCATTTTTAAAACCTAACTCTTTGGTTATTCAGAAAAAGGTGTTTGAGGAATAAAAAATGATGTTGAATGGCCGCCAAACCATAGCACATGTTCACCTATTTAATAATACATGTTATGACAACTATAGGGCAATACTTACCCAAAGTTCATGCCTGCCATACAAGTAGTACTCATACCAGGCTGTGACCATAGGTGACCAGATATCCTCCGACTCTGTACAGTCTGGGCAGAATCACTAGCGGACAACAGTAAATCATCAGGTATTGATAGAATAACAATATTAACATTCAGAGAAGAAAGAACAACTCCACATTAAATGAATTAAGGACCATAATAGCAATACTACTTTACTCATAATACCAGTATTTAAAGGAATGGTTATCCACTATTCAGCCACCAATAATCTTGTTGTTTCCCTATCCAGTCACTAACAAACTGACTGTCCCTGTGATATCCAGCCAGTATTGATCATTTCTTTTTTTCTTAAATCTAACTTAGTCATTAATTATCAACATTGAGTGGATATGATGCTGGACCTTAGTTAATCCACACACCTGTAGAAGGAGTAGCTGTTAGGACCATACAGGGCAGGTGTCAGTAGCAGGGAAGGTGATTCTATCTCATTGGGTTTAATGAGCGACATGCCGAGGGCTGCTGCCACAAACAACACAGGAAACAGTATGACTGACAGGAACATCCTCCAGTTACGACGGTAGTGATGGAAACGCTTGGTAAACAGGGCCCCGATCTGCTGGACCTTCTGACTGCCTGTCGACACTCTGATGCGGGACTTTTTGACAGCAGACTTGGACCGTTTCTCTGGGGCTGTAGTCAAGAGGTTACAGTTCAGAGTAAACAATGTNGGGGGGGAATGGGTCAGCATAGTTAAAAGCCTTCACTTTTTATTTGAATCATTTTTATCTACAATATTCAATCATCACTACAGTAAAATGTATTGACAGATTATTGATAACCATGTATTCTATTGACACACAAGGGTACTACTAATTGAAAGAGAATGACGTATATGCATATTCTGGTTTTGTTTTCCTACTTCAAGCATGTTTACAGATAACAGCATAGTCTTATGTGGCAAAGTCATGTACAATTAGGTAAAACAAGTCACTATAATGCCAGTTTAATGATTCACAAAAATTGTTCAAACAGATAACAGATGGTTATCATAGCTGAGAATTGTTCAATCAAAAGAGTTCTCTAATAACTGTAGTACCTGTCTGCCAGTCCCTGTCCGTAGAGATTCCTAACTGACTGTTACTGAGCTCTATCTCACTAGCTTTCTGCACAACTTCGCCTGTTAAAGGGATGTTTTTCTCCGCCACAGCACAGATTTTCAAAAATACCTGGAAACACACCAAACATGTTGTAAGTTTATATATTTGAAAGACTTGTAAATGTTACATCACATCCATTCTGATATATCAATGAAGAACTGCCATAAAGTTTATAAATATTGACTAAAGGAGTAGAAGATCAAACCTCTTCCAGTGTGGTGTCGAAGATGCCGTAGCTACCGACATGGAGGCTGTCCTTGTGCTGGTCAAGGTTATGTAGACAACTATAAAGTCTTTCCATGTTGCCGGCGGTCATCGGCAGCTTGATGGTCATTTCTGATCCAATGTCCTCAACAACAGCTGCCTCAGGAATGTAGGTTCTCACGCAGTCTAGCACATGGACCCAGTTACACTCGTCTGGATAACACAACACACATACAAATTACTCAGCTGGATAACACAACAAGCAACAGCTACATTCACATGGATAACACAACAAGCAACAGCTATAATCACATAGATAACACAATAAGCAACAGCTACATTCACATAGATAACACAACAAGCAACAACTAGAATCACATAGATAACACAATAAGCAACAACTAGAATCACATAGATAACACAACAAGCAACAGCTAGAATCACATAGATAACACAACAAGCAACAGCTAGAATCACATAGATAACACAACAAGCAACAGCTACATTCACATAGATAACACAACAAGCAACAGCTACATTCACATAGATAACAAAACAAGCAACAGCTAGAATCACATAGATAACACAACAAGCGAAAGCTGGAATCACATAGATAACACAACAAGCAACAGCTAGAATCACATGGATAACACAACAAGCAACAGCTAGAATCACATAAATAACACAACAAGCAACAGCTAGAATCACATAGATATTACAACAAGCAACAGCTAGAATCACATAGATAACACAACAAGCAACATCTACATTCACATAGATAACACAACAAGCAACAGCTACATTCACATGGAAAACACAACAAGCAACAGCTACAATCACATAGATAACACAACAAGCAACAGCTACAATCACATAGATAACACAACAAGCAACAGCTACATTCACATGGATAACACAACAAGCAACAGATAGAATCACATAGATAACACAATAAGCAACAACTAGAATCACATAGATAACACAATAAGCAACAGCTACATTCACATAGATAACACAACAAGCTTCAGCTAGAATCACATAGATAACACAACAAGCAACAGCTAGAATCACATAGATAACACAACAAGCAACAGCTAGAATCACATAGATAACACAACAAGCAACAGCTAGAATCACATAGATAACACAACAAGCAACAGCTAGAATCACATAGATAACACAACAAGCAACAGCTAGAATCACATAGATAACACAACAAGCAACAGCTAGAATCACATAGATAACACAACAAGCAACAGCTAGAATCACATAGATAACACAACAAGCAACAGCTAGAATCACATAGATAACACAACAAGCAACAGCTACAATCACATAGATAACACAACAAGCAACAGCTAGAATCACATAGATAACACAACAAGCAACAGCTAGAATCACATAGATAACACAACAAGCAACAGCTAGAATCACATAGATAACACAACAAGCAACAGCTAGAATCACATAGATAACACAACAAGCAACAGCTAGAATCACATAGATAACACAACAAGCAACAGCTAGAATCACATAGATAACACAACAAGCAACAGCTAGAATCACATAGATAACACAACAAGCGACAGCTAGAATCACATAGATAACACAACAAGCAACAGCTAGAATCACATGGATAACACAACAAGCGACAGCTAGAATCACATAGATAACACAACAAGCAACAGCTAGAATCACATAGATAACACAACAAGCAACAGCTAGAATCACATAGATAACACAACAAGCAACAGCTAGAATCACATAGATAACACAACAAGCAACAGCTAGAATCACATAGATAACACAACAAGCAACAGCTAGAATCACATAGATAACACAACAAGCAACAGCTAGAATCACATAGATAACACAACAAGCAACAGCTAGAATCACATAGATAACACAACAAGCAACAGCTAGAATCACATAGATAACACAACAAGCAACAGCTAGAATCACATAGATAACACAACAAGCAACAGCTAGAATCACATAGATAACACAACAAGCAACAGCTAGAATCACATAGATAACACAACAAGCAACAGCTAGAATCACATAGATAACACAACAAGCGACAGCTAGAATCACATAGATAACACAACAAGCAACAGCTAGAATCACATAGATAACACAACAAGCGACAGCTAGAATCACATAGATAACACAACAAGCAACAGCTAGAATCACATGGATAACACAACAAGCGACAGCTAGAATCACATAGATAACACAACAAGCAACAGCTAGAATCACATAGATAACACAACAAGCGACAGCTAGAATCACATAGATAACACAACAAGCAACAGCTAGAATCACATAGATAACACAACAAGCGACAGCTAGAATCACATAGATAACACAACAAGCAACAGCTAGAATCACATAGATAACACAACAAGCGACAGCTAGAATCACATAGATAACACAACAAGCAACAGCTAGAATCACATAGATAACACAACAAGCGACAGCTAGAATCACATAGATAACACAACAAGCAACAGCTAGAATCACATAGATAACACAACAAGCGACAGCTAGAATCACATAGATAACACAACAAGCAACAGCTAGAATCACATAGATAACACAACAAGCGACAGCTAGAATCACATAGATAACACAACAAGCAACAGCTAGAATCACATAGATAACACAACAAGCGACAGCTAGAATCACATAGATAACACAACAAGCAACAGCTAGAATCACATAGATAACACAACAAGCAACAGCTAGAATCACATAGATAACACAACAAGCAACAGCTAGAATCACATAGATAACACAACAAGCAACAGCTAGAATCACATAGATAACACAACAAGCAACAGCTAGAATCACATAGATAACACAACAAGCAACAGCTAGAATCACATAGATAACACAACAAGCAACAGCTAGAATCACATAGATAACACAACAAGCAACAGCTAGAATCACATAGATAACACAACAAGCGACAGCTAGAATCACATAGATAACACAACAAGCAACAGCTAGAATCACATGGATAACACAACAAGCGACAGCTAGAATCACATAGATAACACAACAAGCAACAGCTAGAATCACATAGATAACACAACAAGCAACAGCTAGAATCACATAGATAACACAACAAGCAACAGCTAGAATCACATAGATAACACAACAAGCAACAGCTAGAATCACATAGATAACACAACAAGCAACAGCTAGAATCACATAGATAACACAACAAGCAACAGCTAGAATCACATAGATAACACAACAAGCAACAGCTAGAATCACATAGATAACACAACAAGCAACAGCTAGAATCACATAGATAACACAACAAGCAACAGCTAGAATCACATAGATAACACAACAAGCAACAGCTAGAATCACATAGATAACACAACAAGCAACAGCTAGAATCACATAGATAACACAACAAGCAACAGCTAGAATCACATAGATAACACAACAAGCAACAGCTAGAATCACATAGATAACACAACAAGCAACAGCTAGAATCACATAGATAACACAACAAGCGACAGCTAGAATCACATAGATAACACAACAAGCAACATCTAGAATCACATGGATAACACAAAATGTGACAGCTAGAATCACATAGATAAAACAACAAGCAACAGCTACATTCACATGGATAACACAACAAGCGACAGCTAGAATCACATAGATAACACAACAAGGGACAGCTAGAATAACATAGATAACACAACAAGCAACAGCTAGAATCACATAGATAACATAACAAGCGACAGCTAGAATCACATAGATAACATAACAAGGGACAGCTAGAATCACATAGATAACACAACAAGCAACAGCTAGAATCACATAGATAACACAACAAGCGACAGCTAGAATCACATAGATAACACAACAAGCAACAGCTACATTCACATAGATAACACAACAAGGGACAGCTAGAATCACATGGATAACACAACAAGCGACAGCTAGAATCACATAGATAACACAACAAGCGACAGCTAGAATCACATAGATAAAACAACAAGCGACAGCTAGAATCACATAGATAACACAATAAGCAACAACTAGAATCACATAGATAACACAACAAGAGACAGCTACATTCACATGGATAACACAAACTGTGACTATATACTCCATACAACAGATTTGTGAGATTCTGACAATCTACACAAGCCATTATTTCTATCAAAGTCAGTGAACATTTATTTTAATAAATTGTAAGAACCTACCAAGTTTAGTGAGTTTCAGGTGATATCCACTTCCAAGTTGTTGTTTGAGGAAGAGCGGTGAGCCAACACACATGAGCCGTCCGTTGTCCATGACAGCTATTCTGTCTCCGATCATGTCTGCCTCATCCAGGTGGTGAGTGGACAACAGTATAGTACAACCTGAAAAACATTGTCCGTTTACTTGTAGCAATATATAAACAGATGAATATTTGACAATTTGATTTTGAATCTAAGTCAGGTGTAGCAAGTACCTTTTTTCAATGTAAAGTCATGAAAATCTCTGTAATTTCTAAAATGTTGTGTCAACAACGAAGCCCAACTGTTTTTTTAACTCTGAGATCTTGTTATCTTGACCAAATGTACAATTTACAACTTTTGGACATTTTATGGAAGAAAGAATTTTTGTATTCAGGTTTTATAGTCTGTGTGTATATGCAATCATTTGCTTATTTATTTTCTCATCACAACATTTAGATTATTTTCTTTCCATTTCCTACAGTTGTGGGATCGCAAGAACGATAAAAAGTTGAACGATCATTGCTTGCGCACATTTGTGAGCACGATGGATGAACGTTGTGCGATAACAATCGTGGTTGGTGTAAATTGAGGAATATTAATGCCTTAACAATATATACGATTTCGTGTTTAAACTTATAAACCTTGATTTTTACGTATGTTTCTATATTCTACCTACATCTATAAACTTATCTTTATGTCTACACTTTCTTAAATTTAGAAATTGTGTTTTCGGTATTTTTTAAACGACCTTAATCGACACATGTGAAATCACAACACAGTCCCGTATACAGGTAAACATAGCCACTTTTTACATGTACCTGGACTATAGTTTTTCCCCGTCCTGGGCGCTTACGTATTTCGTGGGGTAAGGCCGGGGTGTGAAAACACAGGTGAAGGGGAGCTATAGACAAACCGAATGCAAATAACAGATACTAATCGTCCAGTTGTGTTTTCAAAACGGTTTTACGGTATCGCATATCAGCTCTATGTGTCAGGTACAGGCCAGTTAAAACTCTGGTCACTCATCAAATTGTTATTTACCTGTTCTGTTACCTTGAAGCCAAACCGATTCTTGACAGTGTAACGGTCACTATAATGCTGTGTTACATGCATTGTAAAACTGTACATAATCTTCATTACTGTGATGAGAAATAACAGTAATATATGTATACAGTTTTCATTATTGCATACAAGCTTTCCTTATTTTTTTTCATTCCGTAATATTGATCTACAAATTGTACCAAATCGCACAGTTGTGCGGAGAGAAGCACACAAAGGGGCGAACGATTGTTAAATCGCACAGTTGTGCGCACGGTGTGTGAACGATATATGCACGGTGTGCGCACGCTATTTTTGGTGCATTGTGCAGTCACACAACTGTATGATATAACCATCTGTTCTATACCCATACTGACCAACAGGCCCCTAATACTGACCACCTATACAAATGAGCTGATGAGCAATCCCCTAACACTGACCACTTATTAGCTTTACCAACCAAAGATTCCCTAAATCTGACCACCTTTACCCTCAACTGACCATCAGGCCCCTAATACTGACCACTCTTCCTGTGTAAGATGAGATTCCAGATAGAGTGTCGGCCATTAGGATCCACGCCACTGGTCGGTTCATCCAAAATCACAACCTCAGAGCCTCCCACAAAGGCCAATGCCACACAAAGTCGACGCTGCATGCCACCAGACAGCTCTGATACGCGAACATTGCGTACATGCCACATGTCAACCTGTCGGAGCAACCTGTTAAAAGATTATGCTACTTTTTAGTAATTGTTCTTGATCTTTGAGAATTACATCTATATTCAAACTTGTCAAGGAATGTCAAAGGTAATATAAAGTGATACCTGTGTGAAGTATCATCAAAATCTGAAAAGGCCACTAGAAGGATCAAAAGAAGTGTGATCGTAAAATTCTATTTTAATTCAAAGTGGCCTTGACATTCGACTGATCATGCATGCCATCATTCAAAGAAAAGCCTGGTTACTTTTATTTCCTTTTTCAAAATCCAGTAAAGTTATAGATTAAAGTTTGACTATAAAAAAAAAATCTTACGTTAGATTGGTCTCCACAGACAAGTATTATTACATTAGATTGGTCTCCACAGACAAGTTTTCTTACGTTAGATTGGTCTCCACAGACAAGTTTTCTTACGTTAGATTGGTCTCCACAGACAAGTTTTCTTACATTAGATTGGTCTCCACAGACAAGTTTTCTTTCATTAGATTGGTCTCTACAGACAAGTTTTCTTACATTAGATTGGTCTCCACAGAGAAGTTTTCTTACATTAGATTGGTCTCCACAGACAAGTTTTCTTACATTAGATTGGTCTCCACAGTCAAGTTTTCTTACATTAGATTGGTCTCCAAAGACAAGTTTTCTTACATTAGATTGGTCTCCACAGAGAAGTTTTCTTACATTAGATTGGTCTCCACAGACAAGTTTTAGTGTAGAAACACTTACTGTTCTCTCTCATACTTCAGGTCCTTTGATGACATACTGGACTTCACACTGCCGTAAAACTTCATGTGTTCCTCTACTGTCATACTGGTTAATAAAGAAAATACCATGTATACACAGATAAAAACTAAAGCTTTCTGTGTTCCTCTACTGTCATACTGGTTAATATAGAAAATACCATGTATACACAGATAAAAACTAAAGCTTTCTGTGTTCCTCTACTGTCATACTGGTTAATAAAGAAAATACCATGTATACACAGATAAAAACTAAAGCTTTCTGTGTTCCTCTACTGTCATACTGGTTAATATAGAAAATACCATGTATACACAGATAAAAACTAAAGCTTTCTGTGTTCCTCTACTGTCATACTGGTTAATAAAGAAAATACCATGTATACACAGATAAAAACTGAAGCTTTCTGTGTTCCTCTACTGTCATACTGGTTAATAAAGAAAATACCATGTATACACAGATAAAAACTAAAGCTTTCTGTGTTCCTCTACTGTCATACTGGTTAATAAAGAAAATACCATGTATACACAGATAAAAACTGAAGCTTTCTGTGTTCCTCTACTGTCATACTGGTTAATAAAGAAAATACCATGTATACACAGATAAAAACTAAAGCTTTCTGTGTTCCTCTACTGTCATACTGGTTAATAAAGAAAATACCATGTATACACAGATAAAAACTGAAGCTTTCTGTGTTCCTCTACTGTCATACTGGTTAATAAAGAAAATACCATGTATACACAGATAAAAACTAAAGCTTTCTGTGTTCCTCTACTGTCATACTGGTTAATAAAGAAAATACCATGTATACACAGATAAAAACTGAAGCTTTCTGTGTTCCTCTACTGTCATACTGGTTAATAAAGAAAATACCATGTATACACAGATAAAAACTAAAGCTTTCTGTGTTCCTCTACTGTCATACTGGTTAATATAGAAAATACCATGTATACACAGATAAAAACTAAAGCTTTCTGTGTTCCTCTACTGTCATACTGGTTAATAAAGAAAATACCATGTATACACAGATAAAAACTGAAGCTTTCTGTGTTCCTCTACTGTCATACTGGTTAATAAAGAAAATACCATGTATACACAGATAAAAACTAAAGCTTTCTGTGTTCCTCTACTGTCATACTGGTTAATAAAGAAAATACCATGTATACACAGATAAAAACTGAAGCTTTCTGTGTTCCTCTACTGTCATACTGGTTAATAAAGAAAATACCATGTATACACAGATAAAAACTAAAGCTTTCTGTGTTCCTCTACTGTCATACTGGTTAATAAAGAAAATACCATGTATACACAGATAAAAACTAAAGCTTTCTGTGTTCCTCTACTGTCATACTGGTTAATATAGAAAATACCATGTATACACAGATAAAAACTAAAGCTTTCTGTGTTCCTCTACTGTCATACTGGTTAATATAGAAAATACCACGTATACACAGATAAAAACTTAAGCTTCATATATAGTATAGCTCATTACTTACTAGTGGAATAAACATAAGTATATCTCATTACTTACTAGTGGAATAAACATAAGTATAGCTCATTACTTACTAGTGGAATAAGGTGTTATGCTGGGAACATATTCCAATTTTCTTATCACATTTATTGATGGGCTGTCCATACATGTAGATTTCACCATGGGTCGGCTCCAATACACCAGTCATCATTTTTCTACAAAAATATGTGAACGTAATAAACATTTTTTCTTGATTCTAAATGGTGATACATATCCAAATGTACTGATAATTGCAACAAAGTACGGTTATCTTACATGGTACTAGTCTTAGCTGCTCCATTAATGTTACAAAGTATGGTTATCATACATGATAGTAATCCTTCAAATTATGGTTATCTTACATGGTAGTAATCCTACAAAGTATGGTTATCTTACATGATAGTAATCCTTCAAAGTATGGTTATCTTATATGATAGTAATCCTACAAAGTATGGTTATCTTACATGGTAGTAATCCTACAAAGTATAGTTATCTTACATAGTAGTAATCCTACAAAGTATGGTTATCTTACATAGTATTAATCCTACAAAGTATGGTTATCTGACATGGTAGTAATCCTACAAAGTATGGTTATCTTACATGTAGTAGTCCTATAAAGTATGGTTATCTTACATGGTAGTAATCTTAGCTGCTCCATTAATGTTACAAAGTATGGTTATCTTACATGATAGTAGTCCTACAAGGTATGGTTATCTTACATGTAGTAGTCCTATAGAGTATGGTTATTTTACATGTATAAGTCCTATAAAGTATGGTTATCTTACATGGTAGTAGTCTTAGCTGCTCCATTATGTCCCAAAAGAACAGTGATTTGGCCCTCGTAGAAATCTGCTGTCAAGTCCTTCACTGCCTTTGTTTTACCGTAGTTCTTAGAAAGGCCCTGAACCGACATTCCCACAGTCATGCTAGAGGGCATCGTCTGTACAAGTCCTTCTGTAAACAGTAAAACACTTAGAAAGGCCCTGAACAGACATTCCGACAGTCATGCTAGAGGGCATCGTCTGTACAAGTCCTTCTGTAAACAGTAAAACACTTAGAAAGGCCCTGAACAGACATTCCCACAGTCATGCTAGAGGGCATCGTCTGTACAAGTCCTTCTGTAAACAGTAAAACACTTAGAAAGGCCCTGAACAGACATTCCCACAGTCATGCTAGAGGGCATCGTCTGTACAAGTCCTTCTGTAAACAGTAAAACACTTAGAAAGGCCCTGAACAGACATTCCCACAGTCATGCTAGAGGGCATCGTCTGTACAAGTCCTTCTGTAAACAGTAAAACACTTAGAAAGGCCCTGAACAGACATTCCCACAGTCATGCTAGAGGGCATCGTCTGTACAAGTCCTTCTGTAAACAGTAAAACACTTAGAAAGGCCCTGAACAGACATTCCCACAGTCATGCTAGAGGGCATCGTCTGTACAAGTCCTTCTGTAAACAGTAAAACACTTAGAAAGGCCCTGAACAGACATTCCCACAGTCATGCTAGAGGGCATCGTCTGTACAAGTCCTTCTGTAAACAGTAAAACACTTAGAAAGGCCCTGAACAGACATTCCCACAGTCATGCTAGAGGGCATCGTCTGTACAAGTCCTTCTGTAAACAGTAAAACACTTAGAAAGGCCCTGAACAGACATTCCCACAGTCATGCTAGAGGGCATCGTCTGTACAAGTCCTTCTGTAAACAGTAAAACACTTAGAAAGGCCCTGAACAGACATTCCCACAGTCATGCTAGAGGGCATCGTCTGTACAAGTCCTTCTGTAAACAGTAAAACACTTAGAAAGGCCCTGAACAGACATTCCCACAGTCATGCTAGAGGGCATCGTCTGTACAAGTCCTTCTGTAAACAGTAAAACACTTAGAAAGGCCCTGAACAGACATTCCCACAGTCATGCTAGAGGGCATCGTCTGTACAAGTCCTTCTGTAAACAGTAAAACACTTAGAAAGGCCCTGAACAGACATTCCCACAGTCATGCTAGAGGGCATCGTCTGTACAAGTCCTTCTGTAAACAGTAAAACACTTAGAAAGGCCCTGAACAGACATTCCCACAGTCATGCTAGAGGGCATCGTCTGTACAAGTCCTTCTGTAAACAGTAAAACACTTAGAAAGGCCCTGAACAGACATTCCCACAGTCATGCTAGAGGGCATCGTCTGTACAAGTCCTTCTGTAAACAGTAAAACACTTAGAAAGGCCCTGAACAGACATTCCCACAGTCATGCTAGAGGGCATCGTCTGTACAGGTCCTTCTGTAAACAGTAAAACACTTAGAAAGGCCCTGAACAGACATTACCACACTCATGCTAGAGGGCATCGTCTGTACTAGGCCTTCTGTATACAGTCAATCACTTGGTTTCAAATTGGCTCCATTCTTTAAATACTGTACAAAAAACCTTTACAACAAAAATGTTATAGTGCTATAAATGAAATGGAATTAATATTAGCTTTGAAATATTTAAAAACAGATATACAAAGGATTGTAAATCCAGCATATTTTACATGTATGGTCAGAATAAATCTGTGTATCTACGTATAATATATGAGGGAGCTGAACGTGTATACTACAGGTTACTAAGTATTACCTTGATGTTGAGCTATGTACTTGGAGCTGGGTGAGCTTGACCTACAGCCCCAGTAGCCTGGAGACACAGGGAAATACCAAGGCTGAGATACACCATGCTTTCCTGTAAAAAAACCATTATATATAAGAATTTCTCTGCTATCCCTTTTGCCATCATATATAGGTAATATGAATTATATACTGATCTACAGTTACAAGCTGAATCCTTGTTAATCTACACAATAAAGGTTTTGGAAACAGCATTTGGATTAATGAATTTTCAGTTAAAACAAAACTTAATTTATGTCATACTTTTGCATTTTTCTAATATTTAAAGAGAATGCAACTTGAAACAAGTCATTAAAATTTATAAAATATTAGTGGTCAATTTCTTTTTTTATTAGATATGTGACATCGTACCTGGTCTGATGGTTCTCAGGTACCAGCCAATGATGAGGTAGACCACACCATCAATGAGCATCATGAGACAGCACCAGGCAAAGGACATATCATCTCCAGGCATGGGACTGGTATAGATCAAGTCCCAGTGCATGCCTACCAACTGTATCTCGTAACGAGCTATGTACTGAGCCGCGAACCCAAAGGAAGTCGTGGAAGACAAACACTGAAATAAAGGCATCAATCTGTTGATATTCAATTGTTCATCCATTTACAATAACAAAGGAATAGTAAAATACTCTCATAAAGAAGCTCAGTGCACTGATACATGTGTCTAATAATGTGAAAAGTATAAAATAAATGTTATCCTTAGGCAAGCTCATTGTAAATCAACTGTAGACAGAAACAAAACATCATGCTCTATGGCTTAGTAAAGGTAAAGCAATGTTTCTGTGCAACTTACAGCCAAAGTCATTGTTTGTGTATTACTAAAGGCTGAGTTTAACAAAATTAGAGTAAGGCTGAGTCTCTGTATTACAAAGTAAGGCTGAGTCTCTGTATTACAAAGTAAGGCTGAGCCTCGGTATTACAAAGTAAAGCTGAGCCTCTGTATTACAAAGTAAGGCTGAGCCTCTGTATTACAAAGTAAGGCTGAGCCTCTGTATTACAAAGTAAAGCTGAGTCTCTGTATTAAAAAGTAAGGCTGAGTGTCTGTATTACAAAGTAAAGCTGAGTCTCTGTATTACAAAGTAAAGCTGAGTCTCTGTATTACAAAGTAAGGCTGAGTCTCTGTATTACAAAGTAAGGCTGAGTCTCTGTATTACAAAGTAAGGCTCTGTATTACAAAGTAAAGCTGAGTCTCTGTATTACAAAGTAAAGCCGAGTCTCTGTATTACAAAGTAAAGCCAAGTCTCTGTATTACAAAGTAAGGCTGATTCTCTGTAATACAAAGTAAGGCTGAGTCTCTGTATTACAAAGTAAGGCTGAGTTTCTGTATTAAAAAGTGAAGCTGAGTCGTTGTATTACAAAATACGACTTGAGTCTCTGTATTACTTACAGCCAGGATCTTCTGCCAGAATTTCATCTGTACCTCCATAGAGATGAGCACTATATAGGGGATATAGGACGCACAGTACACCATCAGGACGGTCAGCACAGCCAGTGTGGCTTGTGTAAACAACGCACTCACCATATAACTGAAATAATACACAATATTTACAGGACTTAATTTGAATAATAAAGACTCATATAGACACCAGATATTACATTTCTGTATTTTTTGGATGACTTGGTGAACTGACAAAATTGAAATTCATTAAAAGTTATGATTCACTGTTTTATAAATCCTTTGGATCTGTCAATATGTGGATAACAGTTACCACATGGCTCAAAGCACTTCTCATGCACTCTCTTGTGATTTTCCATGTCAAAAAAACTTTTCAGAAATAGGAATAAAGATTTTTTGGTAACATAACATTACATATCACAACGGATTTAAAATTTAAAAAAGTCCTTAAAAAACAACAACAAGCTAAGTGAAGTACATCTATATCAAAGCACTTTTCAAAGAATATTGAACATGTTCAATCATTTTTCCAGGATTCACATATTTTCCAGCACTTTTCATAGCCTGTATGAACCGTGCACTAGTGAGTTTAGGGAAACCTGAAGTGTATTGGTTTACGTAACATACCATAACATGAGGCTGGAGAAACAGAAGATCAAGAAGTACAGGAAGAGGATGCCGAAGCTAGAGTAGATGTACAGGCTGCCCGCCTTCAGTACCACAATACAGATCACAGCGGTCAGCGACATAATCACGATGGAACTGAGGAACCACATCCACCAGTTTAGATAGCCGTACAGTCCCATCACCTTCAGGGCCTACAACACATAAAACACACAGATACAGGTAACAGTGCACTCACAGGTATAACAAGCCACTACAGGTAACAGTGCACTAACAGGTATAACAAGTCACTACAGGTACCAGTGCACTCACAGGTATAACAAGTCACTACAGGTAACAGTGCACTCACAGGTATAACAAGACACAACAGGTAACAGTGCACTCACAGGTATAACAAGTCACTACAGGTAACATACACTCACAGGTATAACAAGACACTACAGGTAACAGTGCACTCATAACAAGCCGCTACAGGTAACAGTGCATTCACAGGTATAACAAGCCGCTACAGGTACCAGTGCACTCACAGGTATAACAAGTCACTACAGGTACCAGTGCACTCACAGGTATAACAAGTCACTAGAGGTAACAATGCACTCACAGGTATAACAAGTCACTACATGTAACAGTGCACTCACAGGTATAACAAGTCACTACAGGTGCCATACACTCACAGGTATAACAAGTCACTACAGGTACCATACACTCATAGGTATAACAAGTCACTACAGGTACCAGTGCACTCACAGGTATAACAAGACACTACAGGTACCAGTGCACTCACAGGTATAACAAGTCACTACATGTAACAGTGCACTCACAGGTATGACAAGTCACTACATGTAACAGTGCACTCACAGGTATAACAAGTCACCACTGTAATAATTGTGTCACATCTGTAGTACTTATCACCAATGTAATAATTTTGTCACACCTGTAGTACTTATCACACTGTAATAATTTTGTCACACCTGTAGTACTTATCGCCACTGTAATAATTTTGTCACACCTGTAGTAATTATCACCACTGTAATAATTTTGTCACACCTGTAGTAATTATCACCACTGTAATAATTTTGTCACACCTGTAGTAATTATCACCACTGTAATAATTTTGTCACACCTGTAGTAATTATCACCACTGTAATAATTTTGTCACACCTGTAGTAATTATCACCACTGTAATAATTTTGTCACACCTGTAGTAATTATCACCACTGTAATAATTTTGTCACACCTGTAGTAATTATCACCACTGTAATAATTTTGTCACACCTGTAGTAATTATCACCACTGTAATAATTTTGTCACACCTGTAGTAATTATCACCACTGTAATAATTTTGTCACACCTGTAGTCTAATCACCACTGTAATAATTTTGCAACACCTGTAGTACTTATCACCACTGTAACAATTGTGTCACACCTATAGTACTTATCACACTGTAAAAATTGTGTCACACCTGTAGTACTTATCACACTGTAAAAATTGTGTCACACCTGTAGTACTTATCACCACTGTAATAATTGTGTCACACCTGTAGTACTTATCACCAATGTAATAATTGTGTCACATCTGTAGTACTTATCACACTGTAAAAATTGTGTCACACCTGTAGTACTTATTACCACTGTAATAATTGTGTCACACCTGTAGTACTTATCACCAATGTAATAATTGTGTCACACCTGTAGTACTTATCACCACTGTAATAATTTTGTCACACCTGTAGTACTTATCACCACTGTAATAATTTTGTCACACCTGTAGTACTTATCACCACTGTAATAATTTTGTCACACCTGTAGTACTTATCACCACTGTAATAATTTTGTCACACCTGTAGTACTTATCACCACTGTAATAATTTTGTCACACCTGTAGTACTTATCACCACTGTAATAATTTTGTCACACCTGTAGTACTTATCACCACTGTAATAATTTTGTCACACCTGTAGTACTTATCACCACTGTAATAATTTTGTCACACCTGTAGTACTTATCACCACTGTAATAATTTTGTCACACCTGTAGTACTTATCACCACTGTAATAATTTTGTCACACCTGTAGTACTTATCACCACTGTAATAATTTTGTCACACCTGTAGTACTTATCACCACTGTAATAATTTTGTCACACCTGTAGTACTTATCACCACTGTAATAATTTTGTCACACCTGTAGTACTTATCACCACTGTAATAATTTTGTCACACCTGTAGTACTTATCACCACTGTAATAATTTTGTCACACCTGTAGTACTTATCACCACTGTAATAATTTTGTCACACCTGTAGTACTTATCACCACTGTAATAATTTTGTCACACCTGTAGTACTTATCACCACTGTAATAATTTTGTCACACCTGTAGTACTTATCACCACTGTAATAATTTTGTCACACCTGTAGTACTTATCACCACTGTAATAATTTTGTCACACCTGTAGTACTTATCACCACTGTAATAATTTTGTCACACCTGTAGTACTTATCACCACTGTAATAATTTTGTCACACCTGTAGTACTTATCACCACTGTAATAATTTTGTCACACCTGTAGTACTTATTACCACTGTAATAATTGTGTCACACCTGTAGTACTTATCACCACTGTAATAATTTTGTCACACCTATAATACTTATCACCACTGTAATAATTTTGTCACACCTGTAGTACTTATCACCACTGTTATAATTTTGTCACACCTGTAGTACTTATCACCACTGTAATAATTGTGTCACACCTGCAGTCTTATCACCACTGTAATCATTTTGTCACACCTGTAGTCTTATCACCACTGTAATAATTTTGTCACACCTGTAGTACTTAAATTATCACCACTGTAATAATTTTGTCACACCTATAGTACTTGTCACCACTGTAATAATTTTGTCACACCTGTAGTACTTATCACCACTGTAATAATTTTGTCACACCTGTAGTTTTATCACCACTGTAATAATTTTGGCACACCTGTAGTACTTAAATTATCGCCACTGTAATAATTTTGTCACACCTGTAGTACTTATCACCATTGTTTTCTCTTAACATTAGAAACTAAAAAATATTCAAACAAATAAAGAATGAGGGTAGAATTGTATTTCTTTGCTTTCTGTAATGAATTCTATGTTTCTGTCTATATCTGGTATGTTTATCAGTTATACATGTACAAGTATTTATACAATGTAGGAAGAGTTACCTCCTCTTGGCCATACTGTCGGTCGTAAACAAGATTCTTGGTTGAGACAGCCAGAGCTGCGACCCACGCCAAAGTCATCATAATGGGCAATAAATACATACTCAGCGTGTTCATGTAGCTGTAAATACAATAAAAAATAGTTATAAACCCACTCAGGGTGTTCATGTAGCTGTAAATACAATAAAAAACAGTTACAAACCCACTCAGGGTGTTCATGTAGCTGTAAATACAATAAAAAATAGTTATAAACCCCCTCAGGGTGTTCATGTAGCTGTAAATACAATAAAAAACAGTTATAAACCCACTCAGGGTGTTCATGCAGCTGTAAATACCATAAAAAAAACCAGTTATAAACCCACTCTGGGTGTTCATGTAGCGGAATTTTTTATGAGTTTTATGAACTTAAAGTAAATAAAGGTTGAGGTTCCAGGAAAGCTTATTTTATATTTATTAACCTGCTTGAGTTGTTCATTCAAACATATTTTATTAATAACTCACGTGTCGTTTACATGACATGGAGCTGGAAACTGTTTGACATGGACAACTGGGTCATTGGGAGACTGTCCAGTCTGCATGCGTATGATGGCTGAGTCCACCATGTCCTGCAGCTGTATGAACCCTCGTGTGTACCTCATGTCAAACACCATGTTGTCTTCTGGATATGGCCTCCACATCCTGTCACAGGAAAATACTCCACATATATAGTAATTCCATACACAATGTACAGTAAAAGGTCCAACGATGCTAAGTTATTTACTTTTTAGATAAAGTTTTACATGGCATTGTTATATGCACAATACCTGGTTACCTTACATATTCCTAGTAATACACATGACATCAGTCCTGGTAACCATAGTTACCATACATATTCCAGGTTACATAACATCAGTCCTAGTTACCCAGGTAACTAATTCCTGATTCTATACATGCCCTTAGTCCTGTTTACTATACTAATCCCAGGTCGAAGTACTCACCGTTCCTTTAGCCTCACAGTGTTCCTCACATTCTCAATATCCATACGTAGTTTGTATGATACATGTTTACTATACTAATCCCAGGTCGACAGTACTCACCGTTCCTTTAGCCTCACAGTGTTCCTCACATTCTCAATATCCATACGTAGTTTGTATGATACATGTTTTGGCAGCTGGTATGTTGTTGCTCTCTTTTTCCTGCTGTTATCTTCTAGATTATCAAACGCAACCACTGAAAATGTAATGGAGAATTTACCAATAAATATGGTTTTATTGTTAACTTGCAGTTTGTGTGGTTTAATTGGCTAAGAAGAAAATACCTCCCTAAACAAGAGTATAAACAGGTGGAAGGTCCATCTGAAGTCACGTAGAAACCACTCTTACTCATTCTATAACAGGTGGAAGTTCCATCTGAAGTCCCGCAGCAGCCACTCTCACCCATTCTATAACAGATGGAAGGTCCATCTGAAGTCACGTAGCAACCATTCTCACCCATTCTATAACAGGAGGAAGGTCCATCTGAAGTCACGTAGAAACCACTCTCACCCATTCTATAACAGATGGAAGGTCCATCTGAAGTCGCGTAGCAACCATTCTCACCCATTCTATACCAGGTGGAAGGTCCATCTGAAGTCACTTAGCAACCACTCACTCATTCTATAACAGGTGGAAGCTCCATCTGAAGTCACGTAGCAACCATTCTCACCCATTCTATAACAGGTGGAAGGTCAATCTGAAGTAACGTAGCAACCACTCTTACTCATTCTATAACAGGTGGAAGTTCCATCTGAAGTCCCGCAGCAGCCACTCTCACCCATTCTATACCAGGTGGAAGGTCCATCTGAAGTCACTTAGCAACCACTCACTCATTCTATAACCCGTTCCTTTAGCCTCACAGTGTTCCTCACATTCTCAATATCCATACGTAGTTTGTATGATACATGTTTTGGCAGCTGGTATGTTGTTGCTCTCTTTTTCCTGCTGTTATCTTCTAGATGATCAAACGCAACCACTGAAAATGTAATGGAGAATTTACCAATAAATATAGTTTTATTGTTAACTTGCAGTTTGTGTGGTTTAATTGGCTAAGAAGAAAATCCCTCCCTAAACAAGAGTATAAACAGGTGGAAGGTCCATCTGAAGTCACGGAGCAACCACTCTTACTCATTCTATAACAGGTGGAAGGTCAATCTGAAGTCACGTAGCAACCACTCTTTCTCATTCTATAACAGGTGGAAGGTCAATCTGAAGTCACGTAGCAACCACTCTCACTCATTGTATAACAGGTGGAAGGTCCATCTGAAGTCACTTAGCAGCCACTCTCACCCATTCTATAACAGATGGAAGGTCCATCTGAAGTCACGTAGCAACCACTCTTTCTCATTCTATAACAGGTGGAAGGTCCTTCTAAATTCTCTTACCAGCCACTCTCACTCATTCTATAACAGATGGAAGGTCCATCTGAAGTCGCGTAGCAACCATTCTCACCCATTCTATAACAGGTGGAAGGTCAATCTGAAGTCACGTAGCAACCACTCTTACTCATTCTATAACAGGTGGAAGGTTTATCTGAAGTCACTTAGCAACCACTCACTCATTCTATAACAGGTGGAAGGTCCATCTGAAGTCACGTAGCAACCACTCTCACTCATTCTATAACAGATGGAAGGTCCATCTGAGGTCACGTAGCAACCACTCTCACCCATTCTATAACAGATGGAAGGTCCATCTGAAGTCACGTAGCAACCACTCTCACTCATTCTATAACAGATGGAAGGTCCATCTGAGGTCACGTAGCAACCACTCGCACCCATTCTATAACAGATGGAAGGTCCATCTGAAGTCACGTAGAAACCACTCTTACTCATTCTATAACAGGTGGAAGGTCCATCTGAAGTCACTTAGCAACCACTCACTCATTCTATAACAGGTGGAAGCTCCATCTGAAGTCACGTAGCAACCACTCTCACTCATTCTATAACAGGTGGAAGGTCTATCTGAGGTCACGTAGCAGCCACTCTCACCTATTCTATAACAGGTGGAAGGTCCATCTGAAGTCACTTAGCAGCCACTCTCACCCATTCTATAACAAAGTTTAATTCTCTATCACCTTAGATTTATAGTCATGTTGATGGGAGAATTTTGTTATCATAATTTTAACTGAATTCCATTTTGTATATTTGAAGTGAGACTTCTCCTATGAAAATTTCATTTAACAGCAAAAATGTGCCATATTGATATTGTTTGCGGGGAAAAACTCTTACTTGGAGATAAAAAAAAATAAAAAAATCAAGGGTTTATCAGGGTTTCTTGGGAAAAGGACCCAGGGACAAAACACGGGATAGAATCATTAATATAAGAACCATATGGGGAAATTTGGATGATCATTGTAACAAGATACAATAAATGCTGTTCCTTAGGAACTAAATAATTTACCTGCGAGTAAGTTATTGGTGGCACCATAATCATAAGCTGCTCTCATAACATCAGACTCTGTGTCATAGCCCTGGAATCTGTTCATCTCCAGACAGGAGGTGTAGTTTATCAGTAAGTGAGATAAGTATTCCATACTGGTCAAGTCATCCTGGTCAAAGTTGTCCAGCAAGCCCAGTCCTGATACCAAGTCGTCTGCAGACATGCCAGTCACCGACTGCAGCATACCCTTAACCAAGCTGTTGGATGCCATACTCTGAGAATCAAAGGATAAATGCAAGTGTAGAAAAATGTTAAACGTCATTTAAAATCAAGGATGCAATATCCCTAGCCATTCTTTTTGAAAGCTGTGGTTACTAAGCTTAAGCAGTGGTGAGATTTTTTCGTACTTAACACTTATGTATCATTTAACCTCTTGTCATAATCATAATTGCATACCAACTAATGTTACTTGACGCTCCTCTAGACAGAGACTACACATCAAAGTTATTGGTCGCCAGGAACTAGAAACTATTGGCCATAAACAGCTACTGACAGGAAGGATACAAGTACCAAGTGACCACACTACACCCCCTTACTGGAAGGTTAGTAATTGACAAATATGTTCAAAAAGTAGATAAGTGTTTATCTTATACAATGCTTACATTAATGTTGGTCATCAGATTTGGATCAGACTTGAGCTGGTTTAAGTCCGTCAGACCTTTTGCCCAAAGGCGACCATAGTACTGAACATCGTCCAACACTCCAAACGATGAGTTGTACATCTGGAAGACATTTACCACATTATACAGTAGTTAATAATTACTAAGAGATAATGTTATTAATTTTTGACATAAAGTAATCAATACATGGTGTTTATGTGTTATTTTTTGTATTTGAAATATGTTTGCACATTTCAGTATTCTAAAACAAGAGGCCCAGAGGGCCTGTATTGCTCACCTGAAAATGTTTGAAATAATTGGTATGAAGTTTAGATATAGCACTCCATGGTAGGTGCTGTAAGTACATATGAAATTTTAGAAAGATCCATCCAGTACTTGAGATATAACGAGAAAAAACTTCAAACAGAGCACACCCCTATGCCCCTAGGGGGGTCATACCCATCAATTATACAAAATTGAGACCCCTTGGCCCAAGGATGCTCCAGACTAAATAACTTAATCTTGATGGTAGCAAAAGGATTTTAAAGGTTTTACCTCTATTTCTCCTATTGGGCCCAATAGGAGAAATAGAGGTTGCCCTCTGGGAGACCACACCCACTGCTTATACAAAATTGGTTCCCCTTCACCCAAGGATGCTTCATAACAAATTTGGACAAAATCCTGTCATTCATACGGAAGAAGGTATTTGAAGAATTTGCTATGTTTCCCCTATTGGGCCCCTCCCTTCTGCCCCCAGGGTGGGGGGGGGCAGACTTGCTGTTTATACGGAGTGGAGTCCTTTTGCCCAAGGATGCTTCAGACTAAATTAGGATAAAATCCATCATTCCCTATGGTAGAAGAAGGATTATAAAGGTTTCACTTCTATTTCCCCTATTGGGCCCCACCCCTCAGGTCCCAGGGGGGGGGGGCACACCCAGCGTTTAACCAAAATTGGTTCCCCTTCACCCAAGGATGCTTCAGACCAAATATGGAACAAATCCTGTCATTCCTACAGAAGAAAGATTTTGAAGAATTTGCTATATTTCCCCTATTAGGGGCCAGACCCACCGTTTATATAAAATTGGTTCCCTTCACCCAAGGATACTCCACGCCAAATATGGAACAAATCCTATCATTCCTACAGAAGAAAGATTTTGAAGAATTTGCTATATTTCCCCTATTGGGCCCCGCCCCTGAGGGGCCAGACCCACCGTTTATACAAAATCGGTTCCCTTCACCCAAGGATTTTCCAGGCCAAATATGCAACAAATCCTTTCATTCCTACAGAAGAAGAGGGATATTAAAGAATTTGCTATGTTTCCCCTATTGGGCCCCGCCCCTCAGGCCCCTGGGGGCCAGACCCACCGTTTATACAAAATTGGTTCCCTTTCCCCCAAGGATGCTTCTGACCAAATATGGAACAAATCCTTTCATTCCTACAGAAGAAGAAGGATATTAAAGAATTTGCTATGTTTCCCCTATTGGGCCACGCCCCTCTGGCCCCTGGGGGCCAGACCCACCGTTTATACAAAATTGGTTCTCCTTCCCCCAAGGATGCTTCTGCTTCTGACCAAATATTGGGGGGGGGGCCCAGACCCACCATTTATACAAAATTGAGACCCCTTGGCCCAAGGATACTCCAGACTAAATTAGGATAAAATCCCTTAATCCCTCGGTAAAACAAGGATTTAAAGGTTTGACCTCTATTTCCCCTATTGGGCCCCGCCCCTCAGGTCCCAGGGGGGGCCATACCCACCGTTTATACAAAATTGAGTCCCTTTGACCTAAGGATGCTCCAGACCAAATTAAGTCAAAATCTACTTGGCCGTTCAGGACTAGTAGTGTTTTAAAGGAAAGTTGACAGACGACAGACGCTGCGGTATAGCATAAGCTCACCATGGTCCTTCGGACCAGGTGAGCTAAAAACAATTTTAATGAATTTCAGGCATTTAAAAAATGATTAGAAACTACCATAATGTTCGGTACCCACCATTTGAGCGAGTTGCTGAGTTGTTGGGGTATTGGGACTGTACAGGATTTTACCACGCATTAATGGTTTCAGGTACGTCCAAATAACTGGCCCGTATTTTGAGGTTGCAATTTGCACATACATTTCTTGGCAGAATCCCTCTGTGAAAAGAGTAATAAGATTTTATGATTCAATGTTTCAACACACATCTCAATTATCACACATGAATACTAAAGGTATACATTTTTATTTCCCTGTCAGAAAGTACTGTATACAAAATAGATAACTTAGGATTTTAGCTATGTCAAATTGATGTACAGTATGCAAATCATCATATGAAACCGACTTTATACTGGAAACGTGTCCATAAGCACAGATGTCCAGCCCCAACACTTTAGAACTAAAGCATGGTCACAGAGGTTACAGTCAAAAGTCAAAATCACCAAATATTGTGCACCATGTTTTAATCATAAAGGTGTATAAGTTATGCCAAATTGATTTACAGTATGTTATACTTAAAACAAGAGGCCCAGAGGGCCTGTATCGCTCACCTGAATATATGTTTAAAATAATTGGTATGAATTAAAGATATAGCACTCCATGGTAGGTGCTGTAAGTACATATGAAATTTCAGAAAGATCCATCAAGTACTTGAGATTTAGCAAGAACAAACTTCAAACAGAGTCCCACCCCTATGCTCTAAGGGGGTCATACCCACCGTTTATACAAAATTGGTTCCCCTTTACCCAAGGATGCTCCACACAAAATATGGACCAAATCCTTTCATTCCTACAGAAGAAGGATTTTGAAGAAAATTTACTATGTTTCCCCTATTGGGCCCCACCCTTCAGACCCACGGTTTATACAAAATTGGTTCCCCTTTACCCAAGGATGCTTCTGGCCAAATATGGAACAAATCCTTTCATTCTTAGAGAAGAAAAAGGATTTTAAAGAATTTACTATATTTCCCCTATTAGGCCACACCCCTCAGCCCTCAGGGGGGGCCACACCCACAGTTTATACAAAATTGGTTCCCCTTTACCCAAGGATGCTCCACACCAAATATGGACCAAATCCTTTCGTTCCTACAGAAGAAGAAGGATTTTGAAGAAAATTTGCTATGTTTCCCCTATTGGGCCCCTCCCCTCAGGCCCCTTGGGGGCCAGACCCACGGTTTATACAAAATTGGTTCCCCTGGCTTCATCCAAGGATGCTTCAGACCAAATATGAAACAAATCTTTTCATTCCTACAGAAGAAGAAGGATTTTAAAGAATTTGCTATATTACCCCTATTGCTCCCCCCCCCCCTCAGCCCCCAGGGGGGCCAGACCCACCATTTATAAAAAATTTGTTCCCATTCCCCCAAGGATGCTTTTGACCAAATTTGGTTAAAATCTGCTCAGTCATTCATGACTAGTAGCATTTTAAAGGAAAAATTGACGGATGGACGACGGACGCTGCGGTATGGCATAGAAATGTGTCTGTAAGGCACCTATGTCCAACTCCCACACTCAAGCATGGTTACAGAGGTCAGAGGTTCTACTTATAAAGGCCGAAAAAAGCATGTGAAATTGTGTGACCCGAGCTGTAGTATTTAGTCAATAGTTGGCATAAACACAAAAACCTTACCAAAGTCACAGAGGTCAAGGTTAAAACAATGTCATGAAACATGTTCTACTAATAAAACTCACACAAGCATGTGAAGTTACATGACCCTAGCTGCAGTCTGCCTTTACTTAATATTAACCAGCAAGAAGGAAGACAAGGGTATGTATATAATTCAATATACCCGGCACAATTTGTGGCAGAGAATACACATACACAGTATCTATATTTAGACTTAAATCTAGTTCGCTTCATGATCAATGACCTAGCTTGTCCTTAAGCTAAGAGGTTCACTGGTTCCCTTCTTGTTCTTCAGTGGAACAGAGATTTCAATATCAAGTTATTTACGGTTATTTTAAAATAGCCATCTTTAATCACTTGCAATCACATAATTACACAAGAGTTAAGTAAAGCGGTACATGATATGCCCGTCAGATGTCGAATGAGCAGTTTGCCACAAAGGGCCATAAGTGCATAAATTTTGGAGAGATAAGCGTCAATTCTACAAAGGGCCATAACTGCATATCAAACTTGTCCGAGCTTTCATGGCAATTAACCTTCCTACCATGTTTGAAATTAATCCATTCAAAATTACTGAAGTTATTGAGAGGAAACTGTTTCGACAATTCTACAAAGGGCCATAACTCCGTAAATAACAGGCAAATAATTTTGGTTATCGAACTTGTCCAAGCTTTCATGGCAATGAACCTTCCTACCAAGTTTGAAATTAATCCATTCAAAATACTCAAGGTATTGAGTGGAAACTAATGTGTGCCCGCCCGCCCGCGTGAAAACATAATACGTCCCGTCATTTGATGGGCGTATAATAATAACATAATCAGAAAATGACAAAAATGACAATGAAAAAATATCAAACTGACAAAATGACATAACTACAAAATGACCAAGGCACAGAATACAAGAGCAGGCTTAGCATGCATGACTTTAAGTGGAACAAAAAGAAAGGAAGTTAATTTTCAAAACAAAGATTATATATTTTCAAAGAAAGTAAGATGAAAACCTAGCTAGTGTGTTAGCCTATAGACAAACTGATAGTAACAAAAGTAACCCTTACAGATGTGTAGTATTACCGATAGTAATATAGGTAACCCTTACAGGTGTACAGTATTACGTCTAACACTGGTTATTGTTGTCCGTCCCAATATAGCCCGTTATAATCTATACTAAAATATTTCTTTGTTTAAATCTTGTATCATTTGATAGTATGTTAATTAAGTTATGTAAAAATATTTCGACTAGCTGTAGATAGAGGATAGATTTCTTTAACAATTTTAATAAGATTTTAATTTTTTTTCCATGGACTGCTTGGCGAGGCTAGAAATATGAACTAAAAAATGTTGATATTTCTTACAAAATTACAAACATGAAGAAATCAAATTCACTTTGACAGACTACAGATAAAAAAATCACACTCGTGCTGCAAATTATACCCAAGCTGAAATATTTTCAAATCTAGTCTACTTCAAAGCAATTTACAAATACAAGCTGCAATTTTCAAATCTAGAATGCTCAAAGTAATGTATACAAACCACTATCTGATTGGCCTGTGGCAACTGGAATAAGAATGCATGAAAAGTTCAATTCTGCATGCATATAGATTATTTTGTCATAATTAATTCTATGAGTAAGCGGCACCATTCTCTCTCCTCCTGCTGATTCTCTCCAGATAGGTGAGGAGACTTTTAGGTTATTAGACAACTTTTCCTTTTCAATGTGATTGTATGTAGCCATACAGCTACATAAAGGTCAGACTCCCCTCACTGGTATAACATGTGGGCTAAGGTCAGGCTCCCCTCACTGGTATAACATGTGGACTAAGGTCAGGCTCCCCTCATTGGTATAACATGTGGGCTAAGGTCAGGCTCCCCTCACTTGTATAACATGTGACTAAGGTCAGGCTCCCCTCATTGGTATAACATGTGGGCTAAGGTCAGGCTCCCCTCACTGGTATAACATGTGGGCTAAGGTCAGGCTCCCCTCACTGGTATAACATGTGGGCTAAGGTCAGGCTCCCCTCATTGGTATAACATGTGGGCTAAGGTCAGGCTCCCCTCATTGGTATAACAAGTGACTAAGGTCAGGCTCCCCTCATTGGTATAACATGTGGGCTAAAGTCAGGCTCCCCTCATTGGTATAACAAGTGACTAAGGTCAGGCTCCCCTCATTGGTATAACATGTGGGCTAAGCATGCTACCACTACAATGGGGTTGAAATCTCCCCAGTACTTGAGGAGATGTTATTTGTCTGACATGTATATATGATCAACATGTGACTAACCCTCACAGGAACACAACTCCTGTCTGACATGTATATATGATCAACATGTGACTAACCCTCACAGGGACACAGCTCCCGTCTGACATGTATATATGATCAACATGTGACTAACCCTCACAGAGACACAACTCCTGTCTGACATGTATATATGATCAACATGTGACTAACCCTCACAGGGACACAGCTCCCGTCTGACATGTATATATGATCAACATGTGACTAACCCTCACAGAGACACAACTCCTGTCTGACATGTATATATGATCAACATGTGACTAACCCTCACAGGGA